ACTTACAAAGTACACAGCTATGACCCTTCAAAAACTAAATGTTGGTTTATAGCAGCCAATAACTGTCAATCAAGGGTAGGTCATTATGACGACGTGTGCCTAAAATAGACATAATTCACAATTGCTTTGATTTTCTCGTAGGGTCTCAAGATTAGCTACACATTTAATATTACAGGTACAGGCGATTACAAGGATTACTCATTGCATATCTTCGAGGTAAAAGTCTCATTCATATGACGTCGACTTCTCTTGATTGACAGGTGCCTATTACAATGCAAGTGTTGGTCAACACAAAGCAATAGTTGGGCTCTCATCTACTTCACTGCTGCACTATTTCATAATATAAATAATTTTGCATGGGTTATAATGTGAATGTTGTGAAGAACTGAGGTCCCCACTTGTGCTGGAAGATGGTACTTGCACTTGATTACTTCAAAAGTCTTGAATACATCCCTCAGCCACGCAAGATGTGAACGTGCAAGTCAAATACTTCAACAGAGTAATTTCTGCCTTATTAAACAARAGACAACWAAACGCACATGCAGTTTGATGTTTTATTAATTTATGAATGKTTTTCGTCTATTGACGTTCTTCCTGCATGTTTGAATTGGTAAATAAGAAACTGTTTGAAATGATTTAATAATATTTTCGGTAATTTGATAATATATTCAAACTAAAAGGGTATATTGCACGTTATTTTCATGAATAAAACAAACTATGTACACTGAATACAAACTGAATATCAACACATTACATACCATATATACACCATATATTATCAAGACTGAATRTATTACAAATATTTGTACAAGCCGYGATCCGTATTTACGAAAGAGCGTCCATTCACAAGTTCTGATTTTGCAAGTTAACAAAATTCCATTGATATGTAGGYTCTCCATCTTCCACAGGATGTGTAGCTGCAAGCATTATCCACACTGCACAAATATCCTCAGGRTAGGGGTACATTTGAACTCTTAAAGCAAAWTGAACTCCATCCTCGTTGCAGTCAATAATTGTATGAAAATCTTGTAAGGACTGTATGTCTGTAATGGCTTGGGAGACTTGAAAATGRTTGATGCAAGTAGTGACTGACTGGAAAGACAAGTTTCTTGTCATYAAATRTCTATACACAGGTTCTCGTAATTCTTCAMAGTTTGCAGTTTGGCCAGTCTTTGCCTTATCTTCATTGGCAGCAAGACAAGGAGACAGTATGTTTGACAATCTGTCATCCCAAARGACAGAAAAACCAATTCCCTGTTGGATAAAAACAACAGATTATAAMGTAAATGCTACAAAATCAACCATAAAAATGAAGGGTTATTTACCTGCCTRTAGKCTTGAATAGCAGYCTTCAGTTCCTGCTCCAACCTTTTGCTTGCACTGACAGTGTTTATTGTAGGTGGTTGTAAAGATGGAGGTACTGGTAATGCAGGCTGTGGATAACGAAATATAATGAAATACATTGAAAGCCTTCACACTAATCAAAAGGTTACTCTAACCTGAATATCAGGACCACATACAGCATATATGGCAGCAGAATCCATTGTTTTCCATTTTGCTGCATTGGTAACATCCATGTCACATGTAGTAATTAAACCACTAGCCTATAACCAATGGTAAACTAATGAGAATTACTATCAATATTTCAAGATTATTACTTACTATGATTATAACTAATATATTACTGGAAATCAAAGAATGAAACACATAATGCTATTAATGTTTATGACAATTAAACATAGTGAACATATTCAGCGCATCTTGCAGAGCTCATCTGTTTAACATTGTTGTAAAATTCTCTATCTTTGAGTTTGATTGAAATTGTTTCAAGCACAAGTAGTCTTCATGAATAGTTATTAATTCAAATTGTTGGAGGGCAAATATTAATATCAGTTCCTGGTCAATTAAGGCACCATACCTGGATATTGGCATAGAAGGTGCTATTGCTGAATATACATCCTAATGTTCTGTACGGTGGACAGGCTGTTGCAGGATTTCTTGATAGAGTATGTCTGTAAATGTAAACAATTCAATTMGTTGTAGTGTTGATCCAGTTCCTGTCATAAAGTAACAACATCATGTCCAACAGTGTTGGATGGATTTAAAAATCACCTTTGACCAGTCAAGCTTTCCCAGAAAACAATCTTTCCATCACGATGTCTTGTCATAACCCAAGAATGTGCCTGTCCTGTGTCCTTTGTACCAAGACATACAWATGCATTCAATCCAAATCCAAGTAGAATACTACACAACAAGATGGCATGGTCTTCACAGCTCTAAAAACAAGATGAAATGCACTAAATGCATAGTCACACTGCCAGCAATGAAAGAAATCTTAAATATAACATTTTATAAAGCACAAACTTTTATAAACTACCACCACATACTAGAGTAGAACAATTATTCTAGCCTTTCACAGGATTATCTTACCCCTTTCCCTCTACAGAGGAATGAGTGTAGACTGCTCCACGTGTCAACTTTACTGCCAAACATTGAACACTCTTCTTCATGTTTTAATAAGCTGACAAACCGAGCAGCATGTTGAGGACCATCAAGCAAGCGTCCTGTATCAATTGGTGTAATAAATGTCAYAACTGGTTTRCTTGCTCCACATTCATTCTGTGCGAATATCTTGACTTGCTGTCTACTGTGTGATGGACAGCCACTCATGAATTCTTTCCACCACTGTCTGGCATAAACCATGAAACGTCTCTCTCTTTCAGACACACGTRAGTGTATATTTGAGAGATGGCTGTCAACATGTGGTTGTATAGTCTGGAAACAAGGCAATACATGGTTGATACAAATYCTTGTTACTGAACCTTTACTTACAATAATGTTACCCTGGCAACAGCACTGTAAATAAGGCTTAATTGAACATCAGAAAATACTTATTTATGGCGTACATAAATGAATTTGCTACAGCGAGCATCTGGGAGTTGTGTAAATTACTTTTTTGAATTTTGAGTTTCAACTAGTGCTTCTTTGGAATTTTTTTTTTACACTTAAATTGAGTATGGTATTTTTGTAATTTTGTCYTTCATTTATTTAGATTTATTATGATGCTATTGTTATCTATGATTATCATTTAATAATGCAATCATGGCATTCACCTGCTGACCATTAGTCATAATCTTGAGCCTCATTTGCAAGGAGCCAATCATCATCTTGCTCTCTTCTCCCATACCATTTATATCTAGAGACAAAACTMCCATCCCACCAGGCTCCTTTAAAACTGTATGCCAGTACAGAGAATGAGAACCGATGAGAGAAACACTCTGATTGACTTCTGTTTTGGATAAAATAAGSTTGATTGGGTCTGGGATATTCAACAATGTATTACTGTCAGATGAAGGTCTGTCAAGAAGCTCCAAAAACAAATCTAAAGGAAAAAAGATCAGAAACAACAATTAACAAACACAGATTACAAATCTAAAACAAGCCTTCTCTAATTTTGAATGGCTAGTCATGCCTTTGCATGTAAGACAACAGCTGAACTTGCAAAGCAATAGAGTCATTTCCATCTGTCTGTGAAATAGGATTTGTACTATTAAATACTATTACCCCCTATCAGCTCCCATTAGTTTAACTTATGACATGCGACAAACAAATTAGGCAAACACGGTTTTGATTTTGCCTTTTGGTGGCCTACTACACCCTTATAGTTACTATTTAAGTGCACATGACACCATTAGAAATTCATTCTCATCCAAAAGAGAAAATGCTGCTAAGTACTTCTGTGAAGAAACAAATTGATTTTAAATTGTATTTTCTAAGTTATGGGCAATTGAAACTTAGAAAATGCAAATTAAGTGACGTCTACTAAGGAATGATTTAATATACAAAATCATGAAAGAGGACGTTATTCTTTTTGTTACACTGGAAAAAGCATTTTCAGCTCTCAATTATTACTATGGTTAATGACTTGAGCTCTTCAACCAAGAACAGCATAGCGCAAACAATGTAAAAAGTCTGGACCAATTCCTTAGTTGACGTCACTTCATTTGCATTTTCAATTTTCAAATGTCTATAACTCAGAATATACTATTCAAAATCAATTTCTTCCTTYACAGAAATGCTTGTCAGCATGCTACCTTTCGGATAAAAGTGTTTTTCTAAAAGGTGTCATGTGCACTTTAAACACTAACTAGTAGTAATTGTTGTATAGATGGATGAAAATGACTCTACTGCTTAATAATTGTCAGAACTGTGAAAAAAAACAAATCCCTTTACATCTGTGCAAAGACGCCATTCATGATAGTGCTGGGAAATGCTAAAAAGTGTATATCATATTCAGACTGCCACTGTTGAGTTAGTTATCTGACAATAGCTAGTGTAGCATACCTTGTTTCACACTAGGATTACTGCAGCATGGTGTTGGTGATGATTTGAATCTTTGTCCTCTGAAGTGTACATGTAATGTAAGGCTGGGTGTCTGTTCACCAGACTGGTAATGTTCAAACTCTATGAATGATTTACCACCAAGTATTTCCACATGTAGGTAAGTTTTGCTAGATAAATCTGATGGTAGAGATCTTGAATCTGTAATACACCAATCCAATGTAAGCATTTTGAATCAACATATCTATCAAAGCATCTACTGTACACCTAATAAATCTCCTCACAGTATTTATCAACCAATATTGCAGTAAGAATTCATCTTAAAATACAAACCCCTTTTTCTGTCATATTTAGGATTACATTACTCAGAAAACAAGAAAAAAGAAGACCAGTGTTGTACTTACTGGATTGTTGATCACTTCCAATGGTGTTTCTGTATGACTCCCTTTTATTTGTCATAGTTTCAGTGACGGAAGGAAAATCAATAGACTCACTTGGAAACRTAGGCTGAACACCCATAGATGAAGCCTCGCACAMTCCTGAACCACTACCTTCCATTTTAATAGTTGGCATACATACTCCTATTGCAGTSCGTGRTTGGTTTGCATCAAATGCTTGTTGTCCTCGTTTTGAGTTAAATTCATCTTGATTTGACATGGTAGCAGCATTGCTAACYTGTGGAAATGCTGAGCTAGTAGTGCTCTCATACCGAGTAGATTGTTGTCCTGACAGGGTGTGGTACAGTGGWATATGTTTGCTTTCCACCGGGTAGTGGAAGGGATCACTCACTGATGAGCACCTAGGAGATACYGCTGAAGGTGAYRGCAGCGGTGGTATTCTGTCCTKGCTAATTGGTGTGAAAKTCACACCTGATGARGAAGAGAGAGAGCTTGTTGCAGTTATAGATGATTCACTGTTGATACTTCTGGGATCAAATCCAAAACCACATTGCAAATAAACAAGTGATGATGACTTTCTTAAGCAGCCATTGGAATAAATCCTAGACAACCCAGCTTCTCTTGATATACAGGTCATCATGCCTTCCAACGCATGAACACCAACTGCTTGCTTTTCATACCAAACTGGAACAGAATCATCCACTTTGTACTGGACTGGGCACTGAAATAGTGCATCAGACTCTGGGTGTAGCTTGGAGAGGTATTTCTTGAGCAGTGCAACAGGACAGAGAGGATGTCCTGGTACTGAATGCATAGTTGTTGGTAAACTGATGTTGCCAGTCATTCCTTGCTGATATGGAAAACAGTTCACCATCTTGACATGCTCTTGTCCTGTTGAATCACAATGTATAACAAATTGCTGCTTGGAAAGTCGTCTCTGTTTTAGATGATCACCAACATCAAAATGCAGTAATATATTAAACCARCAAGCGCGTAATAGCAGTAGAGGAGCAGAACCACCAATCACTCCACTGGAAAGTATCTTCTGCATGTCCTGAGGGTTAATCGACACAGAATGTCTCCATGGACTTGCAGCATTCCCTTCTATCATTGAAATCTTTTCATCAAAGGCTTTATTTGCTTCTTCAAACTCTGCACATTTCAATATTGTAAAGTTAAGTATAGTCTTAATGTATCTGTCAAGGGCATTTCTGATATTTGTTAGCCCTGGTTTAGAAAAGTCACAACCATCCTTTCTTCTTGCTTCTTTGTAAAATTTCTTTAAGTGCTTGTTTAGTTCATGTGGCTGCATTTCCTCTAGTGATTTTGTAATTCCCTCATTTACTAGAAACACTGAAAATGGAGGAATAAAACAGTTAAAGTTSTGTAATTCTCTCTTTCGCTGGTATTTTATGCTTCTGAAAAAAACATAAACATAATTTCAGGTCTATAAAGCTATGGATAGCTTGTTCATTTTGKATACTAGAGTAGCATGAAAGAAATCATGACAATGAAATGCTACTAATATTAGAATTTGGAGTGTTATACAATCACATACAATCTTTTAAGTATTAAAACAGCCAATATTGTATAAAGGAGGTACAAGTGATTTAGTAAGTACTTTTTGGTGCCCACACGAGGCTTCGGCCGATAAAATAGAGTCAATGAATCGGTCAAACTCGAGATTCAGTGAGAGCAAATAAGACATGGATTTAGTATTATTCTATCTGAGCACTATCGATCATCTAAAACTTACATGTAAACGTACGGACAGCCCATTTTCGTTGTTTTTCTGCGGTACTTTCACGTCTTGAAGGCACGCTTCTCGTACCTCCTCCTCGATTGCCAGAACCATATGGACTAGATGCCTGAGAGAACCCTCCCTCTGTATCCGGAGACTCGTCAGTTATACTTTCCTCTGACTCGGCTGGACTCTCAGGGTATTCGCCACTCAACGAGTACATCGTATTTACCGGCAAAAAACCGTCAATAAACCCTGCGATTTCATCTCGCTTCATCCACTCAAAACTATGGATGTGAAGCCCTGGAACCTAGACAGCTGGCACGTGTTAAGAATGACGTCACTATCCTTTTGCTACTAACATCCTTGTTCTCGGAAAGTCACCAATCTTTGCATGCGCAGCGATGCGCGGCGGCCATGAAATATTTTTACCTTTTTTTATTCTGCTTTGTTTTCCACAATGTCAGAGCTTCAGTTACCTTTCCAACTAMATTCCTGGGGCATCATAACGCCTTATTGGTGTTATTCTTGATCGATAACTGTCGGTAAAAATACTCTTCCAGGCAAGAATGAGTCTGATTTTCGAGAGACTTATTTAAGAGCGAAAACTTATTAAACCATTTGTATGGCGGAGAATAAAGAGCGAAAAATTACGAGTGAACTTCCCTCGACTTGGGGGGTTGGGGGGGGGGAGGTATATATATCCGTTTTGGATATGTACACGTGCCGCCAACGGTCTAAAACCCTTACCCTGTTTAAGACACTAGAAAATAAAAATCCATAGCCTTTTCAAGACAAATTGGAAAAAAAATAAGGAATCTCTATCTACGCCGCAACCATCAAAACTGCAATTATACTGACATCCATCAAAGTTTTTGATAACACTAAATCCTGCTACACTGGTGACGAAACTATTACCCTGTCCAAGACACACACAAAAATTACTATCGGTATTTTATCTAAATTGTACAGCCAGTTGAAGACAATTTCGGGTGAAATGTATACCCTGTTTACTGAGACAGCAAGGCGAAAAACCATATCCTGGCCAGCGGCACGTCCCCGTATAGGCAAATATATGGGAGTACCCGCCGGGAATCAAGTGCGCTAAGTTTTCGCGAGGACGTAATTTTGCGAAATTGGCGGAATAGGCAAATTTCGTGGCCATATAATTTCGAATTTTTGTTAAATAATTTTCTTTAAAGGGTATTTTTGCATTACTTTTTTGCTTTTGTTTAAAGAT